GTGTCACCAGTTATTGAAATGTTACTACAATTCACCAACAAAGCAAAATTGGAGCCCACCCCCTTTCCAAGAACTAGAAATTAAAACAAAATTAAAACGCAGACTGAAATTCAGAGTTAGGTAAAGGAAAACTAGAGGACAAGACTAAGTGGGGACCGGGCTGGGGTAAGCAAGTTCATCAAATACTCTTTTGGGACATCACAGCTGATTTAGCCCAAGTATTAGATTTAGACATCTTTGATGGGAGTTCTACACTTGTAAAACAAATTTTCCAGGTGAGGATGTCAGAGAAGAAAGATCAGATGAAAATACTAATGCTTTAATTAGCTCATTAAAGAGAAAAGCAACAGAGTAGCAGCAAGCATTAAGGATGATCCCAGAAATTTGTGTATTTATACAGACAGGCACACAAGAATGCTCACACACTCATAAGACAAGTCAGTACAAATGACAAGAAGTGAGGAAGATGTATAGAGAACTCCTGGAAGAGAAATGGAGTTCACAGAAAGGTATTGCTTTTTGTTTTTTTAGTTTTTTTGTTTTTTTTGTTTTTTTGTTTGTTTGTTTGTTTTGTTTTTTTTTTGTCTAGAGACGCAGGTTATATCACAATATCACAGGGTATTTGAAATTTGAATGTTGATGGATCAGATTTTCACTTCCTGTTTGGAAATTAAGTCAATCATTAATGAAAAAGCTGTTTGGGATTTGGAAAGTCCATACAGTGTGTGCTAACTATAAGATCAGACCTTAGTATTATCAGTGTTCCACATAAACCATGGGAGCAGCATGCAGTAAGACTCCAAACAGCTTTATAAAGCAAAAGTCTTTGATATTTATTTAAAGGACACAAGTGTACATTAGTGATCGCAGTAGCTTTTTTATTAAAAATAGATTTTTTTCATACATTATGTTCTAATTATGTTCCCCCCTTCCCCAACTGCCCCCAGATCTTCTCCACTTCTCCATCCATCGAATTCCACACACTTTCTCTTACTAGAATACTAAAAGATATCTAAAATATTCTAAGATAAAATAAAAACAAACAGATAAAAAAGAGCCAAAGAAAAAGCACAGGAAACTTTCATTTACATGCAGAGACACTCACATTTGCACACACAGAAGTCCAATAAAAACACAAAGCCAAAACCCATATACACAGAGGTAAAGTGAAGACTAGTCTCCATCAACATATACACTCATCAGTAGGGTGAAGGCTCTAGGTAGGCACCTGCTTGACTTTCTCATGTTCAATGACTTTTGTAGTTGTTGTCTTCAGCAATAGGGGCTTAACATCATTTTGTTTTGCAGAGCAACAGAAGGAGAATGAGTAAAGTTTAGAAATGGGGCAAGGTGGTGTAGAAAGTATATTTCTACTAAAGCCTTCAACTTGTATTCATAAACCTGTCTCATTATAGTGGTAGGTCAGTAGAACTGAAAAAGCCTGACCTCTCTCTTTGAAAATCATAGGTGTCCCAAGATTTTTAGAGAGCTATGGACATCTTTATATTACTGTAAGAAACTAAGCAAATACTTTGGATTTCAAGGAGAGATAATTGCAATTATTTTATAGAATTATTTACCATAACTTATTAACATAGACCTCTCAAATGGTAACCCTTGCTCCCCAAATTTGTGTTATTCCAAAATCTTTTGTAAGAATTGTAAAATATTGCATTGCTATAATCAAATAGTCATGAAAATTTTGAACCCTCCTAGCTTATTCTAAAGACATTTTCACAATAGGAATACCCTGAGGCATTTGATGGGGACTTTAAACTTCCCCATGACCTAAGGAAATGATGCTCTGAGTTTCACAGTAGTGATGTTGGTAAAAGGACATTTCATACTTGATCTTAGCCAAAAGGCCAAAGAGTAATGAAATTATACTGTTTTAATGAAAGTTGAGAGCTATAATAGAGTTCCATTTGTGAATATAATACAGAGAAAATAGATACACTATAGTTTCTTACTATAATTATTTACTTGCTATACCTTGCTATAAAATGAAGAATAATCAAAAGAGAGACTTGGAAAACCATTTAATGGAGTGTGTTAAAAAATCAAAACAAAATATTGGTGAGTGATTACCAAGATGGCTCAACTGATAAAGTGGCTCACCCTCAAGCATGAGAAACAGAGATTGATCCTCATCACTTGCATAGAAAGCCAGAAGGGTGACTTTTAAATCCGAGAATTTGGGAGGCAGAGATAGGCAAATCTCCTGGACTTTTTGGCCAACCAGCCTAGGCTAATTGGTCTCTGACTGTAAGAGACCCTTTCTCAGAAAGCAAAGTTAAAAACTCCTGAAGAAGGAAATGCAAAGTTGACTCTGTCCTCCATACACATGCACACACATACACATGGACACACACACACACACACACACACACACGGACACACATACACATGAACACACATACACACGTACATGAACACACACATATACACACATACATGAGAATACACATGCCCATACATGAATACATACACATGCACACATGAACACATACACACAACAAGCACACATATGCATATGCACACACATGAACATACACATGCATAATCACCAACGATAGATGCAATGATGCTGATTTCTTAGTAATAAGTTGAAAGTGGATAATTTATAATCAAGAAAGAAATTGACCAATCTTGACAGTTTATATAGATCCACCACAGAATTGGGCAAATCAATAATAGGAAAATAGGAAATGTAGATAGCAAGAGTATGCCTAGAGAGGATCTAGGATTATAAGCCATCCATGTACATTAATGAGGGCACAGTGGTAACATGTAATAGAAGATAAATTATTGGAGTTATTTTTTATTCAATACTTTCCTTTATTGAAAATAGATTCTTTGGAGGTCAATGAGGAGGCCTAGGCACCGTATGGGCCCCCTGGTAGTGGATCAGTATTTATCCCTGGCATAAGAAGGGACTTTGGGAGCCCATCCCACATGGAGGGATGTCCTCTCAGACTGGACACATGGGGTAGGGCCTAGGCCCTGCCCAGGATGATATGAAGACTTTGGGAAACACCCATGGAGAGTCTTACCCTCCCTGGGGAGTAGAGGGGTGGTGAGGTGGAGGGGTGGGGGAGGGGGTGGAGAAGGAGAAGGGATTGGCATACGAAGCAAGCTTGTTTCTAAGTTAAACTAATAAAAAATAATCTCTTGGGAAAAATAAATTGTAAGAGCTTGTTAGAAACAAAAAAAAGGAAAATAGATTCCTTTCTCATACAGCATATTGATTATAGTTTCCCCTCCCTCTACTCTCCCCAGTTTCTCCCCACCTCCCCTCCTCTCTGGATCCACCCTCTTTCTGTCTCTCATGAGCAAAGTGTAGGCTTGTAAGAGATAATGACCAAACATGACAAAATAAGATGAAGCAAAAGCTATCATATCAAAGTTGGACAGTGCAACCCAACAGAAGGAGAATAGTCCCAACGACAAGGACGAGCCAGGGACCCACTCATTCTCACCATCAGGAGTCCCATAAAAAATACTAAGCTAAAAGCTGTATTTTAGCTTTTAAAATAGGACCTCGTACAGACATGTTTGCCCTGCTGCTTCAGTTAGAGTTGCTATTATAGACCACATACATGTCAGCTTTTGACCAATCACATGTAGTTCTCTCCTTAATGTTTTGAAAAAAGCTACAAAAGATGAAATTTACAAATGATTGAAAATTTTTAAAAAGTGGTTGGAACAAAATTAGAGACATTAATACCTTATTATTGACTGGGGAGCATATAGTTCATTGGTAGAGTACCTGCCTAGCAGGTGTGAGGCCCTGAGCTTGATCCCAACTCTTCAAAATGCTTTTATTATTGCTGGAATTTTGACACTGTCCAGTGAAAGCAGTGCAGCTAAGGGTTAAATAGTTCACAACAAAAGACAGTCTAGGATATAAGTATGCAATTCCTGGCAGTCAAAAGCCCTGGTCTTTCCGATCTTTGTGGCTTCTCCTTTTCATCTTCCTGAACTCATCTGTTGGTAGTTTCCCTTTAACTTAAATGACATCATATATGTGTCTACAAATAAGTTACATCGCCTCACTGGCTTCTGTTTTTTTATTTGTAGAAATGTTAGGGTTAGTTCTGAATCACATAAAATGTCAGTATTCCTATTAACTTTCCTGTTTTACCTCTAATATGTACTTTGTATTGCAAAGTAAGAAGGCAAAAAATAATGAAAGAACTTATGTATGAAGGTTGAGTTAGTTATACAACATTGTCAGAACCCAAAACATCCAGAATATTATGGGTTGTTTACACTTTCCCAGAGACAGCACTGGCAATATTTCTCTTTAATGGTTTTGAAAGTCAATAGCTTAAACCAGGCATGGTGGTGGACAATGCACAACTTTAGTCCCAACACTCAGGAAGCAATCAGGTGGAACTTTGTGAATTTGAGGCCAGCCTGATATACCTAGCAAGTTCTAGGCCATCAAGCTCTACAAAGTAAGACCTTGTCTCAAAAGAAAACAGAGAGGGGTGGGAGTTAAAAAAAGAAAAGGTGTAGCTTTCTTTGTGTTTAAATGTAATAGTTTATTTAATCTGTGCCCAGCAAACATCTTAAGAAAAGTGATGGGGATGTGGGCAGATATGGCTCAGCATTTAACAGCCCTTACTGCTCTTGTCAAAGACCCAGGTTCAATTCCCAGCATCCATATGACAGCTCACAACTATTTGCAACTCCAGTTTCAAAGGATCTGATGCACTCTTCTGACTACCATGGGCTCTTGGTGCACACATAGGTTCTTTCTGTGCCTCATATGCACATAAAATAAATATATGTTTAGAAAGAAAAGTGATGTGATCTGAAGCCGTATATTGTAGGGCAGTGACTCAGTTGACTCATCAAAAACTAAATAAATAAATAAATAAATAAATAAATAAATAAATAACGTATCTGGGTTATTTCAAAACTAAGTTTTATATTTTCAGTTATGCTGACCTGTAATTTATGGATGCATATATGTTTTTACTTTGTAAATATAGTTCATTTACCCCCAAAATGCAAGGCAGACGGATGGGGACTTCAGGAAGAGCCATCATTAAGAGCACCAGTGTAAGTGGAGAGATGTACACGCTGGAGCATAATGACGGCAGCCAGTCAGACACGGCCGTGGGGACCGTTGGAGCAGGTGGAAAGAAGCGGAGATCCAGCTTGAGTGCCAAAGTGGTAGCCATCGTATCTCGCAGAAGCAGAAGCACGTCGCAGCTCAGCCAGACAGGTGAGTACAGTGCTCTCCGCCTCGCACAACTGGGTTGTGCTGGAGATGCCCGGGTTGTGGTTTTCATGTCAGGACTTGAAATAGGATTGTGCCTGTGTTCGGTTTCTCTTTTCTGTGTCTGAAAATCTGCTAAATGGATGGCCTTTATTTTTTCTTCTGTTCTGCTCACTGTTATTGTTAGCCTGTAAAGTGATCAAATATTTTCCTTTAAGTTAAAAATAATTATGAAAGCCATGCTTAAAATTATGCAAGGAAATGCAAAGAAGTATTTGACATCTAAATTGGTTCCTATACAAGAAAAGCAACACAATTCTTTGTTTCAAAATGTCCCATAATGCACTTTGGTGCCATTGAGGCAATGGATGCCTGTACTTTTTGTGGAAAAGGTCAGTTGTGCAACTTGAAGTATAGTCTCCAAGGCTCTGTGTTGATACAAGTGAGCTCTGTTTGTTACAGTTTCAGTGCAAGTAGAAACCCAGAGGCAGTTTTTACTTTAGAAATAATGGGTCAGTGAATTCATGTAAAAGATGTTTTTAGTATAAATGTGTTTTTTAAGCATCTTCTATGGCTTAATATCTTAAAAGAGTTGTATCCTGAGGGTGTGCTTGTATGTGCACGTACCCAAACATGGGGATTGATGGCTTTTTCATTTCAAACTACAATAAAGCATTGCTTAAAATTTCATAATACTTGAGTTTTGCATATTACATAAACCATTTCTATGCTCAATATTAAGCCAAAGCAAAGGTAAGCAAAATCATGAAACAGTTTAGCCTGCCAGCCTCTTTCTTCTCCTGTAATTGTCATTCCTCAATAACCATCTCCTGTGGTCTCAGCATTTACTTACACAAGAAGGCTTTGGTGAAATCTTAAAGCTCACTTGGTGTTCTAGAATACCTATTTTAAACAACCTTCAGTTGGGTTCTGTTGAAAAAATGAATTGGAGAATTTTACAGTCATTTAAACATTGAACTAGAGCATGCACTCTATGGGTGCAGAAGTATATCTGAAACTCCAAAGAACAGAAGGAATCAAGATTGTTTTAGCATCCCAGTGGACAAAGTTGCTCATCTCTGCGTTGTTTAGAGCAATCATTTGTCTTCCTTGGTGTTGGATTTTTTAAGACAAGCAGAGCAGGCATCAGTTCCCCTACGAGTTATTTTGTACCACCTGTTATGGTGGTGTTTCCTCCTGACTCTCCTCTGTGTGATCATGCTCTGCAGTACAAGGTGTGGAGAAAGACTTAGACTTTGACCATCAGACTTTTAAACTGGGGAGGAGAGGGGCTCAGCTGGTAAACGTACTTGCAGTCAAATTCTGATGACTGAGTTCACTCCCTAGGATGCTCCTGATAGAAGGATAGGATCAACCCTGTGGGTTGTTCTCTGACCTCCACTTGCATGCTCTGGCATGTGTGCACCTATGTGCATGTGCACAAAATAAAGGAACAGACAAAAAATAAATATTCTGAGACCGGGTCTCTGTACATACTCTAGCTGTCCTGAACCTTTCTATATAGAGATCTACAAAAATCAAGATCCATTTGGCTCTACCTACCAAGTGCTGGAATTAAAGGTATGCACCACTACATCCAGATACCACTAATATTTTTTAAAGAAAAAAATGTTATTATCTGCATAAAGTAGAAGTGTTCTTTAATGCTGTATAAAGAAACCTGTGTTGCCTATATGAATGGTACAGGTTGAGAGCCTTATCCCCCTAACCTCTTTCTCTGTCTCGTGTGTGTGTGTGTGTGTGTGTGTGTGTGTGTGTGTGTGTGTGTGTGATACAAATAAGAATAATATAAACCCAACGACAGATACTGAAGTTCGAGCTGAAGATCTGAAAAACAAGGCAGACAGCCACTAGCTCTTACCTCTGCCTCAGACTGAAATGGGTGATCCTCTCTCCACAAATCCTCAGAATGCAATGCTCTTCCTGCCTGGAAACTAAATCCCACATCAGACCCTTTGTTTCTTCCCTTTGTACATCCCTAGTGCTGGGATTAAAGGTGTGAGCTCTGTTATTCTTCTTGGCTGATTCACTTCCGTGTAGCCCAGAGTGGTCTTGGACTCACAGAGATCTGTCTGCCTCTGTCTTCCAAGTCATGGAATTAAAACTGTGTGCTACCTGGCCTCTGTGGCTACCTAGTATGTCTGCTGGGATTAAAGGTGTGTATCACCACTGCCTGCTTCTGTGGCTGTAGCTAGCTTTGCATTTTGATCCCCAGTGGCTTTAGGAGAACATAAACAATATATCACCACGTCTGTGTGTGTGTGTGTGTGTGTGTGTGTGTGTGTGTGTGTGTGAGAGAGAGAGAGAGAGAGAGAGAGAGAGAGTGCCTGTGCATATGTGTGAGTTTGTAGCCTTCCCCTAGTTCTTTCTCTCCTAACCCCTGTCCCTCCTTCTCTCTCTGACTTTCTCCCTGCCTCTAGTTAGCTCCTTCATCAGCTGAAAATTATTTTCTTAATTTTCCATAGAATCTATTAAGGTGCATCTTCATAGGTTTAAATACCTTTTATAGAGACACTTGCCTGTAGTGCCTGATATTTCGTCACTCTTACAGAATTCACCAAAATTTTAAGCAATTTCTTTATTTATGGTGTCATATTCTACCATCACCATTTGATTTATACTTCTGGACTCTTCTTAGCCCAATAATTACTGCTTCATTTAAATTTCCCCTTTGTACAAGCTGCTAGGTCCTCATCTCTCAGTTTCTTAGCTCAACATTTAAGGAATACACTTTTGTAATTAAATTTTGTAGAACACTTTTGTCTTTTTAAAGTTTCTTCTAAACATTGCTCCAGGATTATCATTTCCCACTCCTTACCTAGTATGTATCAAGTCTAGTATGACTGATTTGAATTTGTTTGCTATAAAATAAAACCATTAATATTTGACCAGAGATGGATTTCAGAGAGACTTCAGGCAAAGGAATAGTTGTAGAAGATTTTGTAACAGTGTGAATTGACTGATGGTTGCAAGGAAACAATGCATATTACTAATACATTAAAACAACCTCAAACTATATTTAATATAAATGTCTGATTGAGTTTATTGTAGAAATCAGACTTGAGTTTAGGAGTTATTGCAGTGAACCTGGATTATCGATGTAGACAGTTTAGAAAATGTGAAGCACTCAGACATGGACGTTAACCCCATCTGGAATGACTAATTTCAAGAGCATCGTGTACATGTTTTGTTTCTATATCAGCAAGTAGGCACATAAGAGTGTTTTAGACTACTTTCAAAGACTCAAAGGTCACATAAAATGTATACAAATACATAATTCATTGATACATTATGCATAATTAAATTACAATTTATGTTTAATAATTTAACAAATGTCTGTATAAATTAATTTTTATATAAATGATATATAGTTCTTTATATCATTTATGAACTTTAAGTACATAAGTACTTATTCTGATAGAATATATTAATTTTTAATAATATTAAATTTTAAAATCACCTCTACAACATTATCAGATATTAAAGTAGAAATAACTCTTAAGAATGCAGTATTATTTTTTATTAAAATAGAATATTATAAACAAGGAGGATTCCAAATAGTGAATTTAGGAACCAGTAATGCTTGGTGCCTTCAGCTAATCAAATATAGATAAAAATAATTTTCAAGGAATTTTAAAAAAGAAATTATTATGAATAGAATAAAGCTCTTGGTCAAACATCATCTAAATTTGAATGAAGTATGCAAAGAAATGAAATAAAGTGGATTTTTTCTTTAAAAGTGCTAGAACAAGAAATATATTAGAATTGAATAAAACTTCATGTAAATTTAGGGCTAGGTAAAGAATGTAAAAGGGATTTAGTTTATGTTGGCTTGGTAATGAACTTCTGTGATTTGAGAGTTTGTTCTCTCACATGCAAAGTAACAGTTATTCCACCTGTAGTGACTCTTTTTTCAGTTATACATGAAAGCATTACTGTGGACAGCCCACAAATCTGTGAAGATCCATACTTACCCTGTTGAAAATATGTTAATAAGTTTCATGAGAATGCCAGCTCGTAGGGACAGGAGAGATGGTTCAGTCAGTTGTTCTCTGAGGAAACATGAGGGCCTCATGGAAAGCCAGGCATGATCGTGAGGACTTGTACTCCCAGCATGGGGTCAGGGGGCAGATTGCAGGTCAGCCTAGCCCAGGCCACATAGGAGTATAGGAAAATAATCTCTTTGGGACCTAAAACTGTAAAAATGTTTTCCTTAATCCTAATAAAATGTTTCTTTTCAAGACAAAAAAAATGTTAGATTGTGGTTAAATAAGAATGATATGCCAAGTGTATGATTTTTGAGAAGGGTATTTAGCATCAGTGGTGTTATGTCAACCACATTGGATATTAAATAACACACTTATAGGAACATAGATTGGACAGGCTATATTTAAGAATGCACATCTTTAATGAAAAAAGAGACGATTGATTTAAAAGAAAGCAAAGGGAGCTATATAGGAGATTTCAAAAGGGAAGAAAGGGAAGGAGGAAGTGATTTAATTATTTATAATCTCAGAAATAAAAAGAATGATACAAAAGGGAAAATGAGTAAATGATAAAAACACAGACAAGTATCCTGGTCTGAAGGAAACCATTCAGAAGACATACACATGAATTGGGTGTGTAAATAAGAAAGTACTCAGTAGTAGCAGCCTGTGTGCTGTCAAAGGGAATGAGAAGGCTCCCCAGCAAGGCTGTGTCTCCCAGGCTGACAGCACACAGAATGGATAAATGGCTGTTCCAATGCTCAGTGAAACCGCCATCTGTTTTGCCATTCACTGCTGAGAGGTCTTCCTTAAATTACCATTTGTCTGCATTCTAAGAGGATTCTGTTCTTTATGAATGGGTGGTAGGGATATTATAGGGCTTGATCATTGCTATCATTTTCACACAGCCGGGAGTCAATGCCAGGGCACAAATGAAAATCGACTAAAGGTCATCTCTGTGCTTCTTTAATGGTAGTTTTCAATATTCTACTTCAGCAGAATTTCTTTGTTCCCATGTCGAAATCCTTTCCTTAGGACTCTGCTCAAGAGTGCTAACTGCCCTTGGCCATCATCATCCCTATACTCACCAGGGTCTCTTCTCCTTTCAGTTCTTACTCTGA